TCGGCCTTCAGACTGAAGGGTCCCAGGTTCGATTCTGGTCAAGGGCACATGCCTGGGTTGTGGGCTTGACCCCCAGTGGGGTTCGTGCAGGAAGCAGCCGATCAATGATTCTCTCTCATTGTTGACGTTTCTAGCTCTCCCTTCCTCTCTGAAATCAATACAAATATATATATTTTTAAAAAATTTTGTCTAACACATGTTCTCACAAATAACTAGAGTGGCGACAGTCCAAGTTTATATAAAAATTATTTTTTGTACCAAGACATTATATGCACTTCCTCATTTAATTCTTACAACAATCCAATTTCTTAGATACTACTGTTATTACAGATGTGCAAACTAAGGCTTGAGAAGCTAATGATTTCCCCCAAGGTCTCCCAAGTGAAGTTTAAATTCAGATCTGTCTGATGCTAAAGTGAATCGGTGGAAATAAGAATTACATTTAGACAGGGAAATGTTTCATGTGCATTTTCTTCATGCACTGCAGAGTTTCCAAGTTTTAAAATGTTTATTCTTATTATTTTTAAACTCAGCAGTCCAGCTCTACAGCCTTAGCCATTCTGCCATTTCTTTTTTAAAATTTTTTATTCAATTTTCTTAAACTTATAAAAAAACAAACAGTTCACCCATTTCTCCCACCCCCTTCAGCCCCCTGCTTCTTAGAACCACCAATCTGTTCTCTGTATCTGTGAGCTTGGGGTTATATATATTACAGTTATTTGCTCATTCATCCATCAATGAACACTGGTTGCTTCTAAATCTTGGCTATCCTATATAATAAAAGGCTAATATGCAAATCGACCGAACAGCGGAACAACCGGTCGCTATGACGAACACTGACCACCAAGGGGCAGACGCTCAATGCAGGAGCTGTCCCCTGGTGGTCAGTGCACTCCCACAGGGGGAGCGTCACTCAGCCAGAAGCCAGGCTCATGGCTGGCGAGCACAGCGGCGGTGGCGGGAGCCTCTCCTTCCTCTGTGGCAGCGCTATGGGTGTCCGAGGGCTCCCGGACTGTGAGAGGGTGCAGGCTGGGCTGAGGGGACCCCCTCCCCTGCCCCAAGTGCACGAATTTCGTGCACCAGGCCTCTAGTTGTATATAATGCTACAGTGAAAATGGGGGCAGAGATCTTTTCGATTAGAGTTTTTGTTTTCTTTAGAAGTGGAATTGCTGGATCATATGATAACTCATTAATTTTTTGAGGAGCCTCTGTACTGTTTTCTATAGTGATTTCACCCATTTACATTCTCACCAACAGTACACAAGAGTTTCTTTCTCTTCACACCCTCGCCAACACTGATTTCTTTAATTTTCTTTTCTTTCTTTTATTTCTTTTTTGATGATAGCCATTCTAACAGGTTTGAGGTAATATCTCATTGTGTTTTGATTTGCATTTCCTTGATAATTAGTGATGTTGAGCACTTTTTCATATATGTGTTCGCAATCCATATGTCTTTGGAAAATGTCTATTCATATCTTGTGTCCATTTATTAATTGGGTTGTTTGTTTCTTGGTTATTGAGTTGTGTGAGTTATTATATGTTTTGAATATTAGTCTCATCAGATGTATGATTTGCAATTATTTTCTCCCATTTAATAGGTTGCCTTTTCATTTTGTTGATGGTTTCCTTTGCTTTGCAGAAGCTTTGTTAGTTTAAGGAATTCCCACTTATTGATTTTTTGCTTTTGTTGCTTTTGCTTTTGGTGTCAGATTTAAAAAATCATCGCCAAGACCTTTGTTAAGGAGCTTATCACCTGTTTTCTTATTGGAGTTTTGTGGTTTCAGGTCTTAAGTTCAAGTCTTTCATCCATTTTGAGTTATTTTATGTGTATGATATAAGACAGTGATCTAGTTTCATTCTTCTGCATATAGCTGTCCAGTTTTCCCAGCATCCTTTATTGAAGAGACTATCCTTTCCCCATTGTATATTCTTGACTCCTTTGTTGCAAATTAATTGAGCATATATATGTAGGTTTATTTCTGGGCTCTCTATTCTGTTCCATTGATCTGTGTGTCTGGTTTGCAGCCAATGCCATACTGTTTTAATTACTATAGCTTTGTTATATAGCTTGAAATCAGGGAGTGTGGTGCCTCCATCTTTGCTCTTGCTTTGGCCATTCAGCGTTTTTCATGATTCTATACAAATTTCAGGATTTTTTTTTTCTATTTCTATAAAAAGTGCCATTGGAATTTTGATAGGGTTTACGTTGAACCTGTATATTTTTTTAGATTAGCTTACTGCCATTAACTCATGGTGACTGAAAGGAATCTAGTTTTTATAGCGATCTCATATATGAAAATCCATCAGGTAAGTTTGGCAAATTTCCCTCACAGTGCATATTGCCCTCGTGGGCCTGGAGCCAAGAGGAGGAGAGCAGACCTACTTAGTGTTGTAGGGAAGAGTGGTCTGGAGCTACTAAGATGAAAAGCAGAGCTTCTGCCTCGGGAAGCTCACTATCTAGTGGAAGACACAGGCCCGTGCCTGCGAGTGATGAAACACCAAGGTCTGTGCAGTAGCTGAGATGTGCATTCATGCTAGGGAACCACTGACCAAGAGAAGGTGCCTGGCCCAAAGTGGGCTGGTGGAGGGCTACACAGACAGCTTTCTGAGAAAACGGACTTGAGTGGACTCTCCAAGGACAAATGGGCAGGAGGCATCCAGGGCGGCCATTGCAGGCACAAAGAACATCATGTTCAAAGACACAAGGGTGTGGAGGGAGACCCCCAGAGAGGTGTTGGACACGGCAAGGGGACAGGGCCAGAGTGCTGTGGGGGCAAGTGTTGCCAGGGCGTCTGTGGAGGACCTCACACCAGACACGGGCCCGCCGTCCTCTTGGTGAGCCCAGCAAGCCACAGAGGGTGCCAGCAGGTAGATCTGCTTTCCAGAGAGGCCACTCTGCACAGGGTGGACAGCACTACAGAGGAGCAAGACCAAAGGGTGTAGGAGGCTGTTTAGCAATGCAGCAGGTGATGGTAGGCAGTATGAGAAGGGCAGCGTACTTTCGGAAAATAATTCAGAAGTACAATCTAAATATCTGGATGTGTAACTGGATGAGTGGGTGGTGAGCCAGGGTCCGAAGGAGCAGCAGCAGATGCGAGAGGACTGGCCACAGCACTCTGGGCGGCCTGCCCCGCTGCCACAGGACACGGGACCATTCAGGCCCGTGGCCTTCCTTGTGATACATGCCACACATAATGAACATAACACACCAATAATGCTAATAAAATCAGAAAAGAAATGCTTTAAAAAAAAGAACATGATACAACATGCTCCGTCTGAATCCATAAATCTTCCCTCCGTTTGTATGATTTATAGCGAGGGGCCTGGTTCCTCTGGAAAGTTTGTCCAGATGACATCAGACATTCCCCAACTGCCCACACACGCCCCTGAGCGTGCATCTCCTCAACACAGTACAGTTTCTAGCACTTGCTAGAAAGTCTTCCAGACTTGAGTGGCCTATGAACTCAGTGTGCAGCAGTCAAGAAATCTTCATTCATTCATTCAGCAGATGTTCACTGAGGCCCGACGGTGTGGCAGCCCCGGTATCAGCTGCAAAACAGGCCTGTGGGAGGTGGAGACAGACAGAGACAGACAACCCGGGCCCTTAAGGTGGAATGGATTGCGTGGAATCCCAAGGGGCCAGTTATATGTGGCTGGAGCATAACAGTAATGCAGCGAGGCAGAGGGTAGGGGAGATGAGAATGCAAAGGTTAGGGAAGGCCTGTTTATGTGAGGTTGATGGTCTGGCTTCCCTCACAGAGATCAATGACAGAAGCAAGGCAGGTTGCTTTCTCTTTCCCATAAAAGTCCAGTTAGAGGCCTGGGGGGCAGGACCTCTGCTTCACAAAGTCACTCAGGGACCAGGTTTCTTTCTGCTTGTTGTTCTTCCATGTGACCAAAACTGACCTCTCACCACCACACCCATGTCACACCGGGTGGCAAAGGGGGAAAGAACAAGCGGAAGTGGCCTTTTAAGGATGTGACTCAGAGTTGCACATATAACTTCCATTCACATCCTCTTGGGTAGAACTTAGACACAGGCCACACCTACCTGCACGAGAGGCAGATAGGGGCAGACTGCTGGGGTGGCTCCACCCCTTGCTAAACTTGGGGCTTCTGTTGCTAAATGGAAGAAGGGGAGACTGGCTCTTTGGGGTCAGATTGTCTGCTAGAAGGCCAATTCTCAAAAGCCATTGCATGCCACCTTCACTGAGGTGTTGACTTTTATCTTGGAGTAATAGGGAGCCATTAAGAACTTATGCTGGGAAGAGCCATGGTAAAGATCAGAGTTCTAACAAACTCTTCTGGCTGTGGGTGGAGAATGGACTTGAGTGCCATAAAGCAGATTGAGGCCAGCTCCAAGAGATAGGGCTAGTGGGTGGAGGCTCGAGTTTGTTAGACTTCAAGCACAATAAGACTGTGTTTAACAGGACAACCAAAAAACACAACAATACCACAATGAAATGAAACAAAAAGACCAAGGTGGTTAGTATTCACACAAACACGAGAGATTCACTTGGATAAAATGGTGCAGAAGCTATTCAAGCAGTCTGATGTATATTTTATTCATGATTCAAAGAATTCTGGAAACCTACTCTGCCAGGTACAATTCTAGATGCTAACAGTGTGACAGGGAGCAAAAGAGAGTGAACTCTGCTCTCCCGCAGCTCATGTGCCATTGGGGAGAGACATTTCGTCAACCATGAAACAAACAGGCTGATTTCAGATGGCGGGAAGTTTCAGACAGAAGAACCAGAAAATATGAAGTCACTGGGACAGAAATAAATTTGGTTGGGACGGGCCAGAAAACCAGGTGGCCTTTGGGAGGCAAGATTGGCAGGTGGTGAGGGTCTCCTTGTGTGGGATTTGGGGCTTTGTTCTAAGAGCGATGGGAAGACATTGGGTAGTTCCAGCATTAAAATGACACGAGCTGACGATGTTTAGAAATCATCCACCCAGCTTCTACATAAAGACTACAGGGAATCGTGATCTTGAATCGCATGAATGCCTACCACACGTGGGGACAGGGTAAGTGTAAATGAAGCTGTGTCCTCTCAGGTGGAGGCCCCAGGACTCACGTGGGGTCCCAGAACACCCAGCCTCCTGAGAACCCTTCCTCACTCAGAGCCGCTCCAATCCCTGCTACTCAAGTGTCGCCACAGAACTTGTCAGAAATGCAAATCTCAGACCCCAAAACCCACCCCTCTTCAATCACAGTCTTCATTTCAACAAGACCCCAGGTGGTTCGTGTACATTAATATTTGAGAAGCCCTAGTGGTATGTCCCCTGTTTAGGGTGTGTTTCTCTCTCCCTCTCTCTAACTATATGTATACATACCTACACACACACACACACACACACACACCATATACAACACCCTCACAAGCACATATAAACATAGCACATATACACACCCCACATACACACCACATATTTCCGTTCACACTACATAAACCCCCACATATACACATATACCCTCCTACATACACAACATAAACCACATACACTCTTCCCCCCGACAGACACACCACACTGAATTGCCATACTAGACACAAGCTCACTGTCAAATGACCTGTGGACAGGAGGTCTGGACTAGCTACAAATTTAGGGATTCCTGGAGGACAGGGCAGGTTCTATATGAGCAGGATTCAATGTGTTTGATATTCATAAACAGGAACCCATGGAGATTTATTTGGTGGGAGCTGGCTTTCTGCAAATTGGTGTTTTGGCGATGAACCTGACAGCGATGAGGGGGATGCTGCAGATAGAAGGAACAGGAAGGCCCGGGTGGCAGTCTGCGGGCTCGCACAGAAATAGGAAAGGGACCGTCTTTGCTAATGCCTTTTGCATGACTGCTGTGTGCTTGGTCTTTTGTATTACTTACAGAATACATTACACTCTAAATTTTCTATAGTTTGTGTTGATTACTTTTGCAACTAAGATGAAAAAACAAACGCACAAAACCTGCCCAGGCTCAGTATTGTTTGGCCAGTACTAGGACGGGGGACTTCTGTGAGAAACGTAAAGGGAAGGGGCTGCTCCATGTCCAGAAGGTTCTCCTGCTCATTCTTTAAAATTCCACGTGAGCATCTCCTGCCTGCAGACTTCTGGGTGAATCTCTTCCTGCCTCCTCTTCAGCCTCGTTAGTACGTAGCCTGTACGTCGAAAAGGTATCAGGAAGTGCGTATCTGAGGTCGGACAATTAGGGTCTTGATGGGCAAAAGCCGTCAAGTCTGGGCAGCTGAGCGATTGAGGTGCTTTGGAAAGAAATGCAAGGTTTTGGGGCGGTGTCCAGTTTCGGAGGAAAGGTCTGAAGTCCTTGTAGGTGTCTAACTTTGTCATCATGGTAAGAAACGACAGAAATTTCCAGAAAGGCCTGAGCTGGCATAGGGGTAATTTTGATTTTACAAACGAGAACTGACCTCTCCGGCGAGTCCTATGACTGAGTGACCGCTCTCCGTGCCCTCCTGTTTGGGTCTCCCAGTGCTTCCTGGAACCAGATTAGGCCGGGGGGGCGGCGGGTACTAGAGGTGGGGTGCCCTCTATTCCTGGCCCTATATTTAGCCATAGTGGGATTAGACAGGATGTGCTGGCAGCCCGCACATCTGCAGAGCTTGCCTGCGCGCTCGGCCCTGAGGGCTCAGGTGCTTGGCACCAAAGCTGGTTCAGGTGCAGACACCCTTGGACGTCAGGAATGCCCTGACCCAGAGCAGAGGGAGAGTGCGCCTCCGTGCTCTCGAGGAACATTGTGCTTTCCCAGGCTCCTCAGTCTGAGCATGTGTAATCTGCACGCAAGAGCGTATTCCATCTCATGTGATGCACAAAGTGAGTTAGGGAAAATACGTTTTTACGCAGAAATCTCATAAATTCAAATTCAGGGGACCCGACGCATCCAAAGGTGACTTACATCACCTTACACCATTGCTTTTCTTTTTCTTCCAAGAAAATGTGTTTCACAAGTAGAACAAAACTTCAGCAAGTGAGTCTGTCTTTCTTATGGAAAGAATAGTGGGTAATGAAAGCTCACTAGAACCCCAAACAGAAAGTCTTGGGTGTGAGATTAAGCCGGGCAGGCCTGTCGGGAACTGGTCCACAGGCCCACACGCCTCCTCCCCCCAGGGCTGGCCAAAGTCAGCGCTGGGCCCACAGGCGAGGGAGCGCCTTCGTCTGGGGCAAGGGGACGCTTCAGTTTAACCTGCCCTCCTGGCCTTTTATTCCAGATCATCAGAAAAGCCCTTTCTGAGGAAAAGCAGGTCTCAACAAAAACATCCGCTGCAGATCTGGTGACAGAAACGGACCAGCTTGTGGAAGACTTAATTATTTCTGAGATGCAGAAGAGGTTTCCTTCGCACAGGTAGGCCGTCCCTGGGGAAGACACCCAGGCGCTCATGGCCACGTTCATGGGGAAGGCCAGAGTCTAACTCGGGGAGGCAGCGCGCTGGTCGATGGGGGCAGACCTCAGACAGGAAGCCCCCCGATATTTTGATTGCATGGTGAACAAACTGGCCCTTGTTTTCATTCTTTTTACTCCCATCTTGAGAACCCTCAGGTCACTATATTACCTTATACTAGTAAATGCGGACAAGGCTTCACTTTGACAGCGCATGCTCTGGGGAAGAGCTCTGCTTCCCTCTGCCAAGCCCCGTAGCATGTTTCTGGAGGGACTGGGAGCAGTAACGTTCCCTGGCAGACCCTGTCTGCTCGGGGGCGCCACGCAGCTTTTCTAAGGGTGTGACCCTGAGCGGTGCAGCCAGCTGTGGCAGGGGACCCGACGCATTGGATGAGGTTTCACGGTCTTCAAAACCATTGCTTTTCTTTTTCTTCCAAGAAAATGTGTTTCACAAGTAGAACAAAACTTCAGCAAGTGAGTCTGTCTTTCTTATGGAAAGAATAGTGGGTAATGAAAGCTCACTAGAACCCCAAACAGAAAGTCTTGGGTGTGAGATTAAGCCGGGCAGGCCTGTCGGGAACTGGTCCACAGGCCCACACGCCTCCTCCCCCCAGGGCTGGCCAAAGTCAGTGCTGGGCCCACAGGCGGGGGAGCGCCTTCGTCTGGGGCAAGGGGACGCTTCAGTTTAACCTGCCCTCCTGGCCTTTTATTCCAGATCATCAGAAAAGCCCTTTCTGAGGAAAAGCAGGTCTCAACAAAAACATCCGCTGCAGATCTGGTGACAGAAACGGACCAGCTTGTGGAAGACTTAATTATTTCTGAGATGCAGAAGAGGTTTCCTTCGCACAGGTAGGCTGTCCCTGGGGAAGACACCCAGGCGCTCATGGCCACATTCATGGGGAAGGCCAGAGTCCAACTCAGGGAGGCAGTGCGCTGGTCGATGGGGGCAGATCTCAGACAGGAAGCCCCCCCAGATATTTTGATTGCATGGTGAACAAACTGGCCCTTGTTTTCATTCTTTTTACTCCCATCTTGAGAACCCTCGGGTCACTATATTACCTTATACTAGTAAATGCGGACAAGGCTTCACTTTGACAGCGCATGCTCTGGAGAAGAGCTCTGCTTCCCTCTGCCAAGCCCCGTAGCATGTTTCTGGAGGGACTTGGAGCAAGTAATGTTCCCTGGCAGCCCCTGGCAGCCCCTGTCTGCTCGGCACCACGTGGCTTTTCTAAGGGTGTGACCCTGAGCGGCGCAGCCAGCTGTGGGGCCCAGGCTTCCCGCCT